CACACACACACACACACACACCAATATGTGCAGTGACCATTCTCGGGGGGTGGAGGTTGGAATCTCAGGAGCAGAGTGCCCTGACCTTTAACCTTTGAACAGCACTCCCTGGACGTGCTGCCTCATTGGTCAGCAATGCTGGCCCTCTGCCCGGCCTCCCGACCCCCCCAGGCCACAGATAGAGAAGCCACTCCCTACCCAGCACTAAAGGCCTGTTCTTGAATGCCGTTGGCTGCAAGGTCTTTATGGATGTTAGGGACTGACCCAGACTCCGTGGAATGTCTTGTGCAGAGTGGACAGTGAACACGACCAGTCAGGAGGAAATGAAATGCAATGCATTCTGGGTAATGTTCTTTATCTCAGGCTTTTGCCGTTTATTTCTCTGGCAGTATTCCTCTCTCACACACACAAACATAAGCAGAGTCTCCCCTGAAAGTACCGCTTTGCTTAGGACCCGTCACTTCTGCAGGGGTAGTGAAGTCTTTCATTTCTGCTGTTCCGCCCTCCGCATGACTGGGACACCGTGAACAGATTTACCCCGTAGCATCAGGTGTGACGTGAGCAGCTTGTAAAAGCAGCTCCTGCTCAACACCCCCGACTCCGGCACATGGCAGATGGAGAGTCGCTGTGGCTGTGCTGTGCTGTGCTGTACCGCCTTAACCTCCACCTGAGCGGCCTGTGTGTCTCTCTGTCTGTCTGTCTGTTTCTCTGTCTGTCTGTTTCTCTCTTTGTCTGTCTGTCTGTCTCTCTGTCTGTCTGTTTCTCTCTTTGTCTCCCTGTCTGCCTGTCTGTTTCTCTGTCTGTCTGTTTCTCTCTTTGTCTGTCTCTCTGTTTGTCTCTCTGTCTGTCTGTCTCTCTGTCTGTTTCTCTCTTTGTCTGTCTGTCTGCCTGTCTGTTTCTCTGTCTGTCTGTTTCTCTCTTTGTCTGTCTCTCTGTTTGTCTCTCTGTCTGCCTGTCTCTCTGTCTGTTTGTTTCTCTGTCTGTCTGTTTCTCTCTCTGTCTGCCTGTCTCTCTGTCTGTTTGTCTCTCTGTCTGTTTGTTTCTCTGTCTGTCTGTTTCTCTGTCTCCATAAAGCTGGGCAGAGGAGTTCACTGGGTGTTTAAGGGAGTTGGGAGGGGGGGTGGCAGGCTGGTGGTCTCTAGGATAACACAGAGCTGGAAGTTGAATGAAGAGATGGATCGCCACGGCAACATGCTGGCTCTGCTCAAGAGGAGAAAAACAGGAGGCGAATAGAGCCCTGAGCCGGCGTTGGACGCCCCAGACAGCAAATCCGTCTTCATCCTCTCACACGCTCTCTCACGGGTCTGCGTGGGGGACGGACGTTTGATTTAGACGCCTTTGCTACCGACAGGTTGTTCGTTAGGTGACTCCAGACCGCCGGAGTTGACCAAAATCGTCATGCACCAGAGAGAGATCTGCTGGTGCGGTTTCACTGGACGACAAACGCAGCATGCTCACAGATCACGTGGCTGGAAGACTATGCCGCTCAGCTGGCCTTCCGCAAACTTCCGCAAGTTTTTCTGGTGTGGATCTGCGTCGTCATGGTTACCGCAGCCCTAGTTGTCTGGGTTTTGCAGCAGCTGCCAAGGTGTCCTTCTCAGATATACAATGGCCTCAGTCTTCCAGTGTTCAAATACCACTTCGTATTCCAACTGGATTTTAAGAGTGACCGTTACACTTTGTATAAACGATGTACATCATATAAAACGATGTATGTTCTGTCTGCTGGGGGATTTTCCCAGGCTTGCAGTGGGACAGGTGTTTAGTTTTACTTTGTATCGAGCTACGTTACAATAAGGGTAGTTTTATAGTACGCATTTTTTCCCAGGGACTGCAGATATGGAGAATGTGGCGCGGGGCACGACAAGCTGAGGACGCACTGGGCGTCCCATATGAGTGACGAGATGAAACGCGGCCTTCACGTGGCTGGGTTTGCGAGGCCCGGCGCCTCGCTGTCGTTTGCCGGATTGGTTATTTTTAAAGAGGTTTCCTGCGCAGTTGGCCGTTAATTTATTTAGAGAGACGCGCAGATCAAAACGAGGAGTGGTGTAAAAGCGATGTTGCTAAAAGCAAAACGCATTAGCTTAGCATATTAATGAGGGAGGGTAACGCACAAGGTCAAGCAGAGCATGCAGGTGATGTGCCCTGGAAGTGCTGCACGAAGCGGACGGGGCGGGGAGTGAAGGTCCCCCACCCACCAGAAAATCCTCTTTGGCGTCCTCATCAGATGAGCAAAGAGGATCTGAGACACTCTTGGCACAGCCACCCGGTTCAGGGTTTCTGGGAGGACTGGGGACTGGCCGGGGTCTGGTACTGGTTAGGGGCAGCTGAATCCGGTTGAGACAGGCTGTTGTGCCCCAAGCCTGGAAAAAAACGATTTGCCAAGGAAGACCAATGACTCTTCCCAAGCCGACTGCAAAGGGTTAAGCGTCCTGCCTTCCTGTTGGATGGCTTTAGGCCCACCCGAGTCTGTCCAAAATAATGCCCGTCTGTTTCAGTGCCTGTCCCAGACATATCTGTAGGTGCTGATTGGTCAGACCAGAGGACTTGAGATGGAAATTGCAATGATGGCTTTGCTGCTTCCACATGAATGGTGCCACATGTGGCTTCACAAATGCTCACTTTTTGGAAAAGTCCAGAAATTGCAGAGCAGCAGGGTCTGTCTTCATGAGGATGTCTGTACAGGATTAGGAGAGTGGCATGTTTCTAGGTAAAGGGCTGTGCCCCATCGATAAGGTAAGGGTTCCACAGCTCATGCCAGTCTCATGCCAGTCTCATGCCAGTCTCATGCCAGTCTCATGGCATGCTCTCCATCTACGATGGACGCCAGCTTTAGCTGCCTCACCCAGTGTGCAGCCCAGTGACCACGCGTGACCTGTATGCCACGACAGATGGGGGAAGGTTGTGCAAGCGGGAGTGAGGGCAGCCGGTCAGTGGATCAGAGAGTGACACACACACACACACACACACTCACACGGGGATCGGGCCGGCCCAGCTACTGGTGCCACACTTACCTTTGAGCATCTGGACACACACGTGGGCCTCTTCTGTTTTTCTGGGGGAGAGGTAAATGCTTGTTTGTTTTCGTTTTGTCATCTGTTCACTTTTATTTAATCAGAAAAGTGCCCCCCCCCCCCCATCGTTCCCATGTCCTTGAGCCAGGGATAAGAGATTAGCATGGAAAAATGCCCCAAACCTGCCCTTTCATTGGGGAGCCACATGGGGGCAATCCCCGGGCAGGCGATGCGCAGGAACTCCCCGGTTTCGGTGGGGGGGGTTCGGTGGGGGTGTTCACTGTCCTGTTTCTGCTGCATTGTTTGGGCCTGGATTTCATTTCTCTCTTTGCCCTGCAGTGGTGGCAGAAGGAGGTCACAGGCCAGAGGCAGTGCACTGGGAGGCAGGCCAAGTGTGGCGAGGCAGTGCACTGGGAGGTAGGCCAAGTGTGGCGAGGCAGTGCACTGGGAGGCTGGCCAAGCGTGGCGTGTGACCTGTTTTTTTAACCCCACACCTCAGCCTGTAGCGGCCGGCCGTGATTGGGGCCGGCAGGCATCCAGCGCCGTAACCCAATCTGCCCAGCAACGTAGACTCCGCCGCTGCTGACAGCTGTGGTGACTGGGGACACCATGTGACAAGTCACTCAGAGGACTTTCTCTTGTACATTCACACCCAGACCCAGCTCCATGGGGAGGCCACAGTGCCACCTGCAGGCCTGGATGAGGAACTGTCTTATCCTATCAGCTTTTTTTTTACCTCTGTATTACACGGGATCTTTCTTTGCCTTGTCCTTGGTGGTGGCTGGAAAGTGTCACCAGTAGCGAGGTTTTGAGGGTCAATACCGCCTGCTTTCCCCGCATGTGACTGCACAGCTGGAATGCAGCATGCCAAGCCATTCACCCCGGGGGCTTCACGGGTCTGGGGTAGGCAGCGTTCTGCTGGATTCTGCTCATCCAGATCTCCAGACTCCTGCCGGGGTCAATGTCTGTAGAGCTGGAGTTTTTGGAAGCTTCTCTGCAGCCCGAAGAAAGCAGGCTTGTTCTTCATGAGGCCCTGATCTTTCGGCCTTGATAAGCAGAGCCCCCCCACCGAACCTCCTGAACTGCCTCCTCCGATGAATGTCCACGCATATTGCTGATTTCCCGCTGCAGGCGGCGGACCGTCCCACCAGTCAGCCCGATCACTGGCTTGGCTCTCCGCACTGGGCCGTCAGGGCGGCTCGCATCGACAGGCCTCCGCGGAGGTGTAGGCCGCCACAGCAGGCCGCCAGGGAGCCGCGGTGGTGAACAGCTGCACCCCCCCACACACACACCTCCATGGTCTAACCTCTCACCCCCCCATCTCCAGGCGGAGGGGGAGGACAGCCTGAAGAAGATGCAGCTGATGGAACTCGCCATCCTTAACGGAACCTACCGCGATGCCAACATCAAGTCCCGTAAGACGTGACCTTTGACCTCTACTGGGGCTGGGGGAGGTCCTTACTTTCCTAAGCAGTCGTGCTGTTTCACCAAACATTTACTTAATCCTGTATGTATCCCCCCCCCCCAGCTACCCTCTCTTTCTCCTTAGCCACTGCGGCCCAGGCCCCGCGCATCCTCACGGCTCCTGCCTCAGCGATGCCCCCCGCCGCCCTGCGAGCAGCGCCCACCGCAGTGCCCCCTGCAGGCCCCGCTCTTATGCCCCTCATTCGGCAGATCCAGACCTCCGCCCTCATGCCGGGTGCCACGCCCCACGCTGCCACCCTGCTGCCCCAAACTCCAGAGTCGGGCCTCATCTACGCCCCGTACGAGTACCCCTACGCCCTGGCGCCGGCGTCCATCATGGAATACCCCATCGACGCCAGCGGAGTGCTAGGTAAGCCTTCAGAGCTCCCCCTACTGGGCCGGATGTGTAACAGTAGCATCTGAATATGTCGGCTGACCTAACCCACAGATACAGGGAGCGCTGGATCCATGTTAGGGGGCTGCTGTTTAACCTTTGGGCAGCAGGACATCCGCCTGCAGTAATGGGGTTAGAGTTAGGCAGAGTTACGGGGTGTCTGCATTGTGAGGGAGGTCGTAGGTCATCCGAGGGCTCTTTGTGTAATGGTGCATCCTGAAACACAGGCCGTCCGAAGCCTAACCGGCCTCCTCTTGCTCTCTTAGGTGTGGCTTTCCCCACGAAAGGCTAAACGGCCCTCTCTGCCTGCCCCCCCCCTCCCCGACTGCCATTTACATGAACTGGGACAGAATAACACTCGCTTAGATTAATACTGTGTTTGGGTAATAAAAAAATTCACTTCATAGCCGTACTAATCATTTCCCTGAGTGTAGCTGTCTCTGGGATGCTCAGTTTGAGGTTGTGCATGCGCAGGCGTGCGGGAGGGTGTTTGGCTTTCCGACCCCACCCTGATCACATGACTAGGGAAGCCTCGTATCAACCATTCCTGAACCAAGGACCCAAGTCGGCGGCGGCTGCCTGCGTTCAGGACTTCCGGCACCACAAAGCATCGCCGTACACGTCCTTATTGAAGGATATCCGCTGTGCCTTCAGTCTCTCTTGTGCTGTGTTTTATTTCCTGTTGGTGTTTGCTGCTGTCGTTTAATAAGCGTCTCCTGTCTCTGTCGAGCTGTGAGTGGGAGACCGAGCCGCTAACTGCCTGGCGTGTGTCACCATCCAAGCAGGTGCGGTCGCCACTAAGGTTCGAAGGCACGAGGTTCGAGTTCACCCTTACCAAAGGGTCGTGACCTCTGACAGAGGTTAGTTTAGCTCCGGCGTTCTTCTCGTGTGCATGGGGGGGCTTGGGGGGCGGGGGGAACTGTCATACACTGGACACAAGTGGACACGAGCATCTGCAGAAAGCAGCAGTTCATGAAGAGACTGTGTTTACTCTGGGTTTAGTTTTCACTGCATGCATCTTTATTTCGTATGCTTATTTATTTTATTTTACTTTATTTTATTTTATTTTATTTTATTTTGTCCATTGTGGGAAATTAGCAAAAGTCTTAATTTCAGATTTGAATGAAAGGCCGAATGTTTGGGGTCAGTGGTGAGAGAAGCAGACACTAGGCGCTCTTATGCGCAGACTTAGCGCAGGCGGCTTCGCCGTCGCAGCCGTCGGCCACACTGCGCTCTTAAAGGTACAGGGCCGAGAGGAAGGGAACCAGGTGTGTGAGCGTGCCGAGCAGAGGCCTGCAGATGGATGATCAGGGGTGATCTCCGTCCAGCTCAACAGCGGGGAGTTTTACTCCTGTTCTGGTTGGGCCGCCTCGCCCGCCGACTTTGGCACGATCAGCGTAGGAGCAGATAATGTGATGGATGTGACCGGAACGCACTGACTGCAGTGCTGCATAGCCCTGCTCTGTGAGGAGGCCTGACAGTCATTGTACTGCCTAATGCTGTGTTTCTGACCCGCTAAACGATACCAAAAGAAGCCACTTTTCCCCCAAATAAGTTTTATTACTGTCATTAGTATCAGCGGTACATTCCTGAGCTTCCTGTGGATTTGAGCAGACTTCATCCAGTCTTGTGTGTGTGTGTGTGTGTGTGTGTGTGTGTGTGTGTGTGTGTGT